ACTAAACGAAACGACGGTATTAATTCGCAAATCCGAGAAAGCTCTGCAGTTCCTTGACTGAGGTCGGAGCTACCCAATCCTGCACTGCTGCGATCTTCTTCGGGTCGGTCCTAATGCCACTAGCGGATACGACGTGACCTAGAAACTCGGCCTTGGGGAGGATGAACTCGCACTTCGACTGCTTAGCGTACAGCTGCTCCCTCCGCAAGACCTCGAAGACCTTCTGCAAGTGTTGCACGTGCTCCTCCTTCGTTTTCGAGAAGATGAGGATGTCTTCCACGTAATCTACGACGAACGGCCCTAGGAACTCAGAGAGGACGGTGTTCATGAGTGTCTGAAACGTCGCCGGGGCGTTGGTCAAACCGAACGGTAGAACCTTAAATTCGTACAACCCCTGCTTCGTACGAAACGCCGTCTTGTGCTGGTCTTCTGGAACTACGCGAATCTGGTGGTAACCCGAACGAAGGTCAATTTTTGAGAAGATTCTAGCGCCTTGCACTGCATCTAGGAGATCATCTACTCTCGGCACCGGAATTCTGTTCTTGACGGTGGCGGCGATCAGTGCACGGTAATCTATGCACATCCGTAACCCTCCGTCTTTCTTGGGTGCGAAAAGGATCGGTGCTGCCCAAGGCGTTCTAGATGGCTGTATGAACCCCTACGCGAGAAAGTGCCTAAGGGTGGCGGCGGCGGCGGTTACCTCTGGGTGCAGACTGGGCCACGCCACAGCCGCCCCTGTGACCACCACCACCCCCCGGGTCTGTGCTTTTCGCAGCTCACCGACCGCTGCCGCGCGCATTTTGGCTGCAGCGCCACTGTCCCCGACTGGGCCTCACTGCTCCGCACAGTTGGCCCGCAGCTGTTTGGCATGTCTGCTGCAGAGTTAGATGAGGTTGTACGACCTGTCTCTGTGATGTATGCTAATGATTTTAGAATTGAGCATTCTGGTTATTCCTCTTGTTTGTCTAGCTCAGGTGCTATAGATGTTGCTAGTGCTTTCCCTGCTAGCGTAGCTTGCACAGGTTCGACCACCGAGGCTGAGTCCATATCGTTCACGCTTGACTCTGGGACGTCCGGCTGTTTCTTTCGCGACCGCACCGACCTCACACCGCTTTGCACTCCTGTCTCTGTTGCCCTAGCTGACTCCACAGTGGGACCAGTGGTTGCTCACAGCACCATCACCCTCCCGTGTCCGGCGGCTCCTTCTGGGGTCCTCACGGGTTACTACACTCCCTCGTTCTCCAAGAACTTCGTGGGTGTCAGTCACCTCCACGATCTCGGAGTAGTCATCACTCTCCCTCTAGACGAGCCTGTTGCCTCCTGCACAGTCGTTGTCACTGGGGCGCCTCTGGCCACTTTTCACAGGGAGCTAGGCTCTGGTCGGTACTCACTACACACGGGGTCTCACCACTCAGGTCAGGTCAGGTCAGGTCATGTCTCACGACTGTCGGTCACTCACCCACCCGTCAGTCCTCTGGCACCACCGATTAGGTCACCCGTCCTTCCCGTGTCTCGGTAGTATGGTACGTCACCGTCTGGTCTCAGGTCTCCCAGAGTCGCTCGCCCCGCTTCCCCGCTTCCTTGCGCCGCCGTGCACTCCTTGCGACGAGGGTCGGCAGCGCGCTGCCCCTCACTCCTCCTCGTTCCCCCCCAACACGGCTCCGTTACAGATCCTTGCACATGGACGTCTGGGGCCCCTCCCCATTCCTTGGCCCACGTCAGGAGCGCTTCTTCCTGATTGTGGTGGACGACTACTCCCGCTACACCACGGTGTTTCCCTTGCGATGGAAGGCCGACGTGCCTGACGTCCTAGAGTCATGGCTACTAGCGAGGGGTGGCACCCAGGGCCTTCGTGGACTCCGTCTCCACTCGGACCGTGGTGGTGAGTTTGACTCCACTCGTCTGGCGGCGTTCTTTGGGGCTCAAGGGACCACCGAGTCCTACACGCTACCAGCCTCGCCGCAGCAGAACGGGGTAGATGAGCGACGCATCGGCTTGGTCATGGAGGTTGCCCGAACCTCCATGTGCCATGCCGGTGCCCCCCAGTTCCTGTGGACCCAGGCAGTCCGCTACGCTGCTCAGCAGCTGAACCTGTGGCCTAGTGACGCACGGCCACGGGTTACGCCGATCCTTCTCTGGTCAGGATCTCGAGGTGAGGCAGCTAAGTACCGTGTCTGGGTCTCTCTGGCTCACGTTCCCGCCCCTGGCACGAACAAGCTGTCTCCTCGCACCCGTGCCTGCGTCTTTCTTGGTTTCCCTCTGTACGCCACCGGCTGGGCGTTCTACGACCCGGTGAACTACCAGTTCTTCAGTTCCCAGGACGCCACATTTGACGAGTCAGTCTATTACTACCAGGGTCGCCCCCACCGAGGTACCGAGGCCTTCTCCCTCCCACCCGTGCCCCCCCGAACCGCCCCGGTAGCCCCCCCGCCCCTCGCATCCAGCCCCATCAGGTATGTCGCACGTCACTCCGCTGTCGTCTCCCCCGCAGCGTCCAGCCCTTGTTGTGTCTGGGGGTGCGGGAGGTGCAGCTGTGGAGGGTGAGGGTACTGGGGCTGCTGGAGATGGTGGTGCTGGCTCTGGGGGTGCAGGGGGTGTGGGCGTGGAGGCCACTCCTGTGGAGGATACGGCAACCTGGAGTAGGCGGCCTCGCCCCGCCTCACGCCCTGGCTTCCCGTCTGTCCCGCAGTTCCCTCCTCATTCGTCTTTGCGGCCGGTTGCTGCGGAGGCTGGGGGTGTTCATGCGGGAGGTACAGGAGGCACTGGGGGTGTTGTTGGTGGAGTTTCTGGTTCTGGGGGTGCTGGAGCCGGAGGCGCTGGTACTTCGGCGCCTATACCACACACTGTACGTTTCCTGAACCGTGAGCAGCTACTTCTACGGTTGGAGAGGGAGGAGCAGGAGCGGTTTGAGAGGGCACGGCAGCAGCAGCAGCAGCAGCAGCAGCAGCAATTTCAGTCACAGCATCAGGAGAGAGTAGAGGAGGTCCCACAGCCATAGCAGCATGTGCGGTTAGAGCCACAGCAGGAAAGTGTAGAGGAGGAGTCACGGCTGCAGCAGCAGGTGTAGTTGGTGTCACACCAGGAGAGAGTAGAGGAGGAGTTACGGCCGCAGCAGCAGGTGCAGTTGCAGCCGCTGCAGGAGAGGGCAGAGGAGGAGCCACACTCGGAGCAACAAGAGAAGCAACAGGGGCAGGTTCCGCCGCAGCAGACGCCAGATGAGGCGGAGCAGCAGCGACTGAGAGGCCTGCCCGACCCAGCACCTGCACGCTTGGTCCGTCCCTTACCGTCCCCTCCTGTTCCCCCTATCCAGTCCCTTTTATCGTCCCCGTGGACTCGTCGTGCTCCACTCAGTCGTGCTGTGTCTCCAGAGCCTCGCCGGTCTCGTTACCATGCTGACGACGGTCCTTCCGCAGCCTCCTGAGTTGTCCCTTACTGTGTCTCCTGACCCGTTGTCCGACTACCTCCGTGCCTCCCGTACTGTCGTCTCCTGTGTTTTTTCCTCGTTGGTCACTCATCCGACAGCCCCTCTGTCGTCTGTCTCGGCTCTTGTTGCTGTCTTTGGTGCCTTTGCCTCGTCCCACCACCTTGACTACACCGCCCACCTGGTGAGCAACACTTCTCTTTCTCTGTTCACTAGGGGGGCTCCTGTCTTTCCCTAGAGGTCCTGGAGGACCGGCAGTTCGAGCTTGGTTTCCTTGCGGCCGCTGTTACTCATCTCTGCGCCATGCTGCTTGCCCCTGAGGGGGATCCAGACGCCCTTGACATCCCGATCCCTCGCACTCACGCCGAGGCGGTCTCGGGACCTTACGCTTCGTACTGGATAGCAGCTGAGGAGGCACAGATGGCATCTTATAGATCCATAGGCACCTACTTCGACGCAGTCCCACCACCCGAGGCGAACGTCGTCAGTGGCATGTGGCTCTACAAGGTGAAGCGGCCGCCTGGAGCACCACCGGTGTTCAAGGCGTGCTACGTGGCGAGAGGCTTCAGTCAGCGAGAGGGGGTAAACTTCTTCCAAACCTTCGCTCCCACCCCAAAGATGACTGTCAGATTTATAGTGGGGTAGCACATATGGGGTACAGTTTTCTAGGGTTTGCTTTTGTACCCAACTTTCCCTTAGTCAATTCATTCCTCGTTATTTCACATGGTATAGAGCGGGTTCCCTCGTGGGAACGCTTCCTAGGGCCCACCAATCGAATTTTTTTTTTCCTGCCCGGAGCGCGCTTCGCTCCTGCCCGAGTCGCGCCCCGCGTGCCCTCCCTACCGTCGCGCCCTCTCTAGGCCCCTTACGGCCCCTTCGCGTCGCCCTTAGCGGCCCCTCTGACGGCCCCTCGTGCCGCCATTACGGCCCCTCGCGCCGCCCTTCCGGCCCCTCGCGCCGCCCTTACGGCCCCCTACGGCCCGTAGCCGCCCTTTGCGGCCCCTTGCGTCGCCCTTCACGGCCGTCGCCGCCCTCCGCGGCCACTCGCGGCCCCTTCACGGCCGGTCGCCGCCCTCCGCGGCCACTCGCGGCCCCTTCACGGCCGGTCGCCGCCCTCCGCGGCCCCTCGCGCCGCCCTTCACGGCCCGTCGCCGCCCTCCGCGGCCACTCCCGGCCCCTTCACGGCCGGTCGCCGCCCTCTGCGGCCCCTCGTGCCGCCCTTCACGGCCCGTCCGCCGCCCTTCGCGGCCTCTCTCGGCCCGCCGTCGCCGCCTCTACAGCAGCAGCAGCTGCAGTCGCTACAGCGACCGCGGCCGCAGTCCCAGCAGCAGCAGCATCTGCCGCCCCTGCAGCAGCACCCGCCGCCACTGCACCCGCGGCCGCCGCCGTCCCTACAGGAGCGGCCGCCGCCGGCCCTGCAGCAGCAACTGCCGAGTTCTGCGCCAAGAACCCCCCCCCCATGTACATCACCCTCTACTACATAGTCACCCGGCTCCCTGACTCCCTTCGCGTAGTCAGGGACCACTTCCTCTCAGTTTGCCCCACCACTCTCACCGTTGACCTCCTCGAGAAGGCCCTCCTAGCAGCAGAGAAGAGCATAGTCGCTGTAGGAGCCTCTCGTGGTGACCCTCGCACCCCCGTCTTTGAGGGGTGTTCCCCCTCCCCCCTTTTGCCCTCTGTTGCCTCTGCTGCTGCGGCCGACCTCGTTGGTTTCGAGTCGGTCGGCGCTGCGTCTGCCCCAAGCGGGAGACGCCGCACCGGCAAGGGCAAGGGGGGCAAGGGTGCTGGAGGGGCTGGCGGGGGTGGCGGAGGTGGCGGTGGCGGCAGTGGAGGGGGTGGGGGTGGTGGTGGGAGTGGTGGCGGGGGTGGAGGTGTCGGTGGCGGCAGTGGAGGCGGAGGCGGCGGCGGCGGTGGCGGTGGGAGCGGAGGTGGCGGAGGTGGCGGCGGTGGAGGAGGCGGCGGCGGAGGAGGTGGAGCTGGTCGGGGTGGCGCTGCACAGAGGGTCGGCTCCGGTGGTGGTCAGCGCCAGCAGCAGCAGCAGCAGCGGCAGCAGCGCACTCGTGACATCCCCCCCCCTCAGCAGCTCCGTGAGTGGTATACTCACGCCAGCGGGGTGGGGGTACTGGTCCGTGCACCTACGTCCTACGCACCGGCGACCGCGCGGGTGAGCAGTGCGGGGGTGCGCACTCCACCCAGCGCTGCTTTGGCCGCCTGACGGACGCTTGGTGACACCAGTTCCCTGAGGCCACTGAGATCCCTCGCTGGGGCGAGCTGTCTAGGGCGGGTGTAGCTGTCTTTGACCTTGACTTTGATGCTATTCTTGCTGCCATGTATGCTGTGACTATTAGTGATGAGGGTGACTGTTACCGGTGTTTTCCGCCCGACCCGGGCATTGAGACTGCTGCTCTAGGTACTGGTGAGGCTGCTGCTCTAGGTGCTAGCGAGGCTGCTACTCTAGGTGCTCGTGCGTCTGCTCCCTCAGGTGCTGGTGAGTCTGCTCTCTCAGGTACTGCGTCGGCTTCGGCCTCCCACACCTTCACCCTTGACTCGGGGGCTTCTTTCGAGACCGCACCACACTCACGCCGCTTGGCCGGCCAGTTGCAGTCTCTCTGGCAGACCCCTCTGGGGGTCCTGTCCTTGCTCACTTCTCCACTGTCCTCCCGTGTCCGGCGGCCCCCTCTGGCACCCTGTCTGGTCTTTACCTCCCCTCGTTCTCTACGAACTTGGTGAGTGGTGCTGACCTACAGGATGCGGGGGTTCACCAGTTCACTCCTGCGAGTCAGCGGGTGACCCACTGCACGGACGCTCAGACAGGCCGACACCTGGCCACGTTTACACGTCGGCCGGGGTCGAGCCTGTACACACTGACCACTGCGTCTCCTCCAGTCACTGCGTCTGGTCAGGTAGCTGCGTCGGGTCAGGTGTTTGCTGCAGCGTCCAGGTCTGGTCCTGAGTCTGCCCCCTGTTCGTGTCGCCTTCTGTCTCACGAGACTCTCCTCTGGCACCACCGCCTTGGTCACCCCTCCCAGCTTCGTCTCCGAGGCATGGCCTCCCGTGTCCTTGTCTCTGGTCTTCCCCGGTCCCTCCCTCCCCTTCCTTTGGGGCCTGGCCCTACCTGCGTCCCCTGTGTCGAGGGGCGGCAGCGGGCTGCCCCTCACTCCTCCCAGTTTCCTCCGACAGAGGCCCCGCTGCAGACGCTTCACATGGACGTGTGGGGCCCGGCCCGCGTCCGTGGACAGGGTCACGAGCGCTACTTCCTGCTGGTGGTTGACGACTACTCGCGTTACACCACAGTCTTCCCCTTGCGCAGCAAGGGTGATGTCACTGAGGTGTTGATCGACTGGATCCGCGCAGCTCGTCTCCAGCTCAGGCAGAGCTTCGGCTCGGACTTTCCTGTTCAGCGTCTGCACTCTGACAGAGGTGGAGAGTTCTCCTCTGGCCTTCTGCGAGCCTACTGTCGTGCACGAGGCATCCGCCAGACCTTCACGCTTCCGGACTCTCCACAGCAAAATGGGATTGCTGAGCGCCGCATTGGCATGGTCATGGACGTCGCCCGTACGTCCATGATGCATGCGGCTGCCCCCCATTTTCTGTGGCCGTTTGCGGTTCGGTACGCGGCGCATCAGATCAACCTTCACCCCAGGGTCTCCATGCCGGAGACCTCCCCAGCTTTGCTGTGGACGGGGAAGGTTGGCGATGCGTCTGCGTTCCGTGTCTGGGGATCTCGGGCGTTTGTCCGCGACTTGTCTGCGGACAAGCTGTCCCCTCGTGCTGCTCCTTGCGTCTTCCTTGGCTTCCCCCCTGACGCGCCAGGGTGGCAGTTCTACCACCCCACCTCTCGCCGTGTCCTGTCCTCCCAGGACGTCACGTTTGACGAGTCGGTCCCCTACTACCGCCTCTTCCCCTACCGCACTCCGTCCCTCCCCCCGCCACCGCTCTTCCTTGTCCCAGGTCCCCCCCCGGTAGACCCCCTCCCCCCTCAGGGTCCTGCCCCTTCAGGTGTGTCCCAGGTAGACGCAGTCGAGCCTGTCGAGGTTACTGGTGACTCTGGTGCTGCTGAGGGTGCTGAGCCTGGGGGTGCTGACTCTGGGGGTGCTGAGCGTGTGGGTGCTACGTCTGGGGGTGCTGAGCCTGGGGGTGCTGAGCCTGGGAGTGCTACGCCTGGGGGTGCTACGCCTGGAGGTGCTGAGCCTGGGGGTGCGGAGCCTGAGGGAGCTGGGCCTGCTCGTGTGGCGTCTGGCGGTGCTGAGCCTGGAGGTTCTCCGGGTGCTTCGTCTCGGCGGGAGCCACTCTCTCCACAGGAGCTGCGCGAGTGGTTTGCCCGGCGCTGGAGGCGTGCTGCTGGAGCTGGAGGTTCTTCGGCTGCTGAGGGTGCTGGTGCCGCGGGTCCCGGAGGTGCTCGTACTGGGAGTACTGGAGCTGCTGGGCCTGCGGGTACGACTGGAGCTGGAGCTGCTGAGGGTGTTGGCGCTGAGGCTACTGCTGTCGGTCCTGGAGGCGGTCCTGCTGGGGGTGCTACTGGTGCTGCTGGAGGTACTGGAGCTGGAGGTGCTGCTGGCGCTGGTGCTGCCGCTGGGGGTACTGGTGCTGTCCCTGCTGTGTCTGGAGTCGCCGCGCGGCCTCGGCCGTACTTCGTTCCGCTCCTTCAGCAGGTTCTTGGTCTCCCGCCTTCTACTGGTCCTCCTCCTCCCTTAGCGTGTCCACAGCCTGTCCCGTCACAGTTACAGTTACAGCCGGCCTCCCCACTGCCCGCTCCTTCTCCCTACACTGGTCCTACTGGAGGTCTTGCTGAGCGTCGTGAGCCTGCGTCTCGCCCTGCGTCGCCTGTCCGTGCTGCTCGCACTAGTGCTCGTGGTTCGCGTCAGCGTCCTCCTCCTGTCCCTGGCACGCACCGGATGTCTCTGCGTCCGTCCACTGCTCCTCTGCGTGCCCCTTTGCCTTCTCCTCCTGAGTCCTCTCTTCCTGCTCTTCCTGACCCGGAGTCGGACTCTCTTCGTGCTGCCAGTCCTACTGTCACGCGTCTCCTTGCTACTGTTGTCACTGACCCTTCCTTTGAGTCCACTGCTGCGTCTGCCCTAGTTACTGAGCTCGTCGACTTTGCTGCTCGCTGTCGTCTAGACTACGCTGCTAGTCTTGTTGCTGAGTCTGAGTCTGTCTGTCCTCCGTCCGTCGGGGGTGAGTGTGCCCTTGGCACGGACGTCCTTGAGGACAGGCAGGAGGAGTTCCAGTGTTTGGCTGCTGCTTCACCTCATCTCGTGTCCGTACTGCTTACCCCTGAGGGAGACCCGGATGCACTTGACATCCCGACTCCGCGCTCTTACGCGGAGGCGATAGAGGGTCCCTACTCCTCTCAGTGGCAGGCAGCTATGGACGCAGAGATGGCTTCCTGGAAGTCCACAGGCACCTACGTTGACGAGGTTCCCCCGCCTGGGGCGAACATCGTCAGTGGCATGTGGATTTTCAGGGTGAAGCGGCCGCCGGGTTCTCCGCCTGTCTTCAAGGCGCGTTACGTGGCTCGTGGCTTCAGTCAGCGGCAGGGAGTTGACTACTTTCAGACCTTCTCTCCCACCCCGAAGATGACCACTCTTCGGGTACTGCTGCACATAGCTGCTCACCGCGACTACGAGCCGCACTCTCTTGACTTCAGCACTGCTTTCTTGCAGGGCAGCCTGCACGAGGAGATCTGGCTGCGTCGCCCACCTGGCTTCACTGGGTCTTTTCCTCCTGGCACCCAGTGGAGCCTCCGGCGGCCAGTCTACGGTCTCCGCCAGGCACCGCGTGAGTGGCACGACACACTGAGGACTACACTTGCGGCTCTTGGGTTTGCTCCCTCTACTGCCGACCCGTCGCTGTTTCTGCGCACCGACACTTCTTTGCAGCCGTTCTACATCCTCGTGTACGTCGACGACTTGGTCTTTGCCACAGCTGACACTGCTGGACTCGCCCACGTGAAGTCTGAGCTGCAGAAGAGACACACGTGCACAGACCTGGGTGAACTGCGCAGCTACCTTGGCTTGCAGATCACCCGGGACAGAGCACGCCGCACCATTACCCTGACTCAGTCACACATGGTGCAGCAGGTCCTTCAGCGCTTCGGCTTCACGTACTCCTCGCCTCAGGCCACTCCTCTGCCTACTCGCCACTCGCTCTCAGCTCTGCCTTCGGATGAGTCCGTAGAGTCGAGTGGCCCGTACCCAGAGCTTGTTGGCTGCCTCATGTACCTGATGACCTGCACACGACCTGACCTTGCATACCCTCTTAGCATTCTTGCACGCTATGTTGCTCCTGGGAGACACAGACCGGAGCACATGGCTGCAGCGAAGAGGGTGTTGCGCTACTTGTGCAGTACGTCGGGCATGGGGCTTGTGCTTGGAGGGCAGAGTCCAGTGGTCCTCACTGGACACGCAGACGCTTCTTGGGCTGACGACCAGGCTACGCAGCGGTCGTCACAGGGTTACACCTTCAGCCCTGGTTCCGGCTCTGTTTCGTGGCGGGCTACTCGCTCGTCTTCTGTTCTCGGCTCTAGTTGTGAGGCTGAGATCTACGCCGGGGCCATGGCTGCACAGGAGCTTCGCTGGCTCACCTACCTGCTGACTGACCTCGGAGAGCCGCCTCGTTCTCCTCCAGTGCTCTACGTAGACAACAAGGCCATGCTGGCCTTGTGTCGAGAGCAGAGACTGGAGCACAGAACGAAGCACATTGCTCTTCGCTACTTCCTTGCTCGTGAGCTACAGCAGCGTGGTCAGCTGCGACTTGCGTACGTGGCCTCTGAGGCCAACACTGCTGATATCTTCACCAAGGCACTTGCGCCTTGTGATCATCAGCGCTTCTGTACTCAGCTGGGTCTTGTACCTACCTTGCCTCACTTGCTCACCTCTTGACCTTGTTTGTACTGTTGCATATATATATACTCCTGCTCTTGCTTGTCTAGCCTTATATATATATGCAATCCTGCATGTGAACTGGCCTTGTGGCCTTGAACTTGTGCTCGGAATGTGTGGTGACTTTGTGATCCACCCTGAGCTTGCTTTGCTTTGCTTGACTGGTCTTGTGACCC